AGGGTTTAGGGTTTAAGGTTTTAGGCAAACTCTATTCAACTCTAGACAGCACACTACTCTGCTGGCACTTGTGTGCATCCCTGGAGCAAACGCCAGCACATTTCGGGGTAGCTTCCTCGTGTTGCATCTCGCTCATGAAGAAGGCAAGAGAAATCTCGAGAATTTCTGGTGCCTAAGAGTGCTTAATAGAAAACTAGTACGAAGCTTCTACGAGCCGACGAAAGTGCCACATACTACAGAAGCATTGCACGACGACACTTGATGATTTGTATATACTTGTATCGCAGGATCATAACCTGAAGTGCATGGGTTTACCTACCCGAAAAGTTTAGGGTTTAAGGTTCAGGGTTTAGGGTTTAGGGTTTAGCAACAGGCTGACGCAATCACGAATCCATCTAGTGAAGCGGCCTTGGTTTTGCTGAGTCCTGCAGGGCAGTGAACCGGCCGCAATCCGCCAACAGGCAGCCGGCAAAGAAGATTACACGTGGCCAAACTAATGCCTAACTGCTGAGTTCACGCATGAGGCTTCCAACCCAGAAGATGCTCGTTGCCTTTGGACTGCGTTTGTTGCTATGCAAGACACTGGATCTGTGCAGCTTACCAGAACAAACTGCACACTTTGGCTTCGACCGTGCCCCACATGAGACAACACAACTGGATTGTCATTTGCCCCATGCTGGCTAAGAGCCTAAACGGCATGGTTTGCGGAACTCCAATCTACCGATGAGTCTCGAGGAGGGGTCGGGTTCCAAATTCCAATATGACCATCGGTCTCGGAGGAATTCACGGATGTGCCGAGGACTCCTTTCAACAGGCTGTGCAGAGCGCCTGCTACTATGTGTCTTCTGAGCTCGTAGCGCGTCGCACGGGTCTCTGCGACAGTGGCACAGACATCCAGGCTTTGCATCAGAACGCTTGTCTGGTTGAACCGCTACATGAAGCATGGAACGTCATCATGGCCATTATCGTCAGAATGGCGCCGTCACGATCACTGTCAGCAGCAAGGATGCACTTTTTCCTCTCGTGATGTTGATCTTGAAGTTGGGGAACTACGGATTCAAACAACAAGTACAACTTGGGAGTCTGCAATTTTCAAGATGCGCATCGGATCGATACACAACAATCGCTACTTGCTGTCTTGATCTGTCTTGATCGCAGGGCCCTGACTCCCAACCTGCACGTCTGTCAGGGGAGATTTTGCTTGGCAGACGTCCGAACTCCTCCTAAACATTAAACGGTTGGGTCGCTTGTTGTGAGCAGCGTAGATACACAAGAAGCTGAAGTCCTCACAGCCAACCAGAGTAGGGCCAAGCGTTCGCTGCAGCAAATGTGTCCACAGCGAAGACATCAAAATCTCCACCTGTCCGCCCAACAAAAGGGGCGGCATGATGGATAAAGCTGTTGCTGTCCTGGGATCAAGATTTGCTCGCCGCAGCAAATGTGTCTGCAGCCAAAACATTAACATCTCAACATGTCCACCCATTTTGGGTGACACGATGGACAACGATGCTGCTGTCCTGGCATCAAGATTGTTCGCTGCAGCAAATGTGTTCGCAGCAAAACCATCTAGGACTCAGCCGTTCTCGCAGCGGCAAATGTGTCCGCAGCCTATCTTCACATGTCCACCCGCTTTGGGCGGCATGATGGACTCAGCTGGTTTGCTCTCGCTACAGGGAACTGTCCGCAGCGAGCACAACAAAAATCTCACCTGTGCACATGATGGAGGCACCTGCTGCTGTCGGGATGAAGACTCGAAGACTCTTCCGATTGACTCTTCCGCTGATCACGAGCGTGATCTTGCGTGGGATTTACATGCCCGACGACCTGGTTCCCCCTTGACCCAGTGCTGCTTTCAAGCAGGTTTTGGTCGAAAGTTCAGACTCTCCCCAATGCCATCCAAATCTTGGCCACTAGTGACAGTGCAATCTGCACGTGACTTCATGACGGGGTCATCGAGACTTGCCCGCGCCTCGCCCCGAGAAGCTATCGTCTCATCTCCTTCGCTTCCGCCGACGGGAGCAGCCTGAATACTTTGGGCGCACTGCAGGAGACCACTACTGGAACCACTCACACTTGCAGCTGAGCAGCTCGAATAAATTGCCATGTCCCACGAATTTTTGGAATCGCCGATATTCAATGTGTTGATTCCTGCAGCTATCGAAAAGCGAGCAGGACGCGTTCAATGCAGAACTTACGGATTTTGGGATCCAAGACTCATCTAAAGCTTCCTTTCCAAGTTTTTGCCACGGGCGGCTGTGACTTGTATTCCGGGTCTGCGATCCAAGCTGGGAGACGTGTCTTGCTTGCAGCATGTTGCTGGTTTGACTACCTCAATGTATCCCCCTCCCGGCCTGATTTCAAGAAGTGGCAAACAGCTTTACCAGCTGATATCAGAAGGCATCTAGAATCCAAACGTTTTAATCATCGAGTCGTTGCCTATCGAATGGTCCACATTCTCATGGGCGGAAAGGGACTTCTGTACCCTGCCAAAACCAAGTCGTGAAGGCTTTGCTGCGCGCTTTGTCAACCTCAACAATCCGAAATGCAACAGTACGGACCGAAATACTCACGACAGCCAATTTGAGATATATTTGAAGTACCCTATCTCTAATTAGACAAAGATCATGGAACAAAGGTATTGAAACTGATGTGGGCTCCTTAGGCACCTCAACCAGGCCAAGCCACGGGAAGCAGGAGCTGCTCAAGACCAGCATAAAGCAGACTTCTCTGCTTCGCCATGATGCTATCCGGGGCCATGAAACGGATTCCTTTGCTTTCTTCAGTGTTGCGTGCGCCCGCCCGTGGCGCCAAAAAGTCTACCGCGAGCACGGTCGAGCGAAACCCGGGCAGCTCGGTCGACGTAAAGAAGCAGCCCAAACTGCGCGAGACTTGCGACAAAGGTCCGGCAGATCGGGGATCCAGCAGAATGACCGCGGGAGGCATCAGGCAAAGCTTCTCGAAGTGGCAGAGCAGAGCTGACACGGCCAGAGCCCCAAAACTCCATCCAACTAGAATCATTCGTGTGCGCGAATACGGCCAAGCAGGCCAAGAGCATGGTGCATCAAGGTGCTGAGTGATATGAAACCAGCCGATGTCAAAGATCCATGGTAGAGACTGAACAACTTTCCCCACAAGCACCCCACATCAGCGCCTCGAAAGATGTGTCACGCAAGGATCGGGCCCGCACTGCACCAGAAAACGTCAAGAAACCTATCCTTCGGTTCTGGATTGGGCTTGGCAGCGCCCAGCAGAAGCTTCCGGAGGATGCTTTCTCTGCTTGCCATCTTTGCTGTCTCTTCATCCCTGCTCTAGTTGGGATAAATCGACCGGTAAACTTGTCTCGGGCATCGCGTCGGCACGAGCACATGGACTAGAGACTTCCCGACAACAGGACAGCGGACAGCGCCTACACTGTCAGCGACCGTGCCCAAGAAGCCCATAGCCGATCAGGGCCCTTCAGATGGGCAGGAGATCGCGAGGCTGCAACACCTGCAGAGCTGGCCAAAGACCTCCGGAGCACTTGGCGCAAAAATTGCTCCTTCAGAAACTCACTATTCACACACGATTGTGCAACTAGGGTTTTGCAACCTCTCAGCCCCTCTTGGTCCACTCGCAGAGTCGGAGTCCTCAAGCGACGGCCGTTGCCCGCCTTGCAGACTCGGGCTTCGGGTGCAAACGGTTGAAGCCGATGTTTCCATAAATCCAGCCGGCAGGGCACCCGCAACGTGTCGAAGGCAAGGCTTGCTTTAGCATCATAAGATGAAGCACAACATCAGCGAATAGACTGGGCCTGACGTACTGTGGCGAATGTGAAAAGCCTGTCGGCTGTTCCCAAGGGCATGTTGCCAAACCGATGTCAGAGCAGTTCATTGACACGCTCACTTTGACACGGTCCTCCCTCTCCGTGACATCACTTCAGGCGTAGAGTGGCTGCACACATCTGGAACGGAAACACAAACTGTCCCGCACGTGCGCTGCAAATGCAAAGTTCAAGCCCAGAATGCATCCCACTGCAGCACTGCGCATGTTCCTTGCTTTATGCTCTGCTCTGCCCCACTCACGGTGGCAGCATGTCGGCCACGAACGCATGAAATGACTAATCATGCACGAATCGATCACCTTCTCAAGCATAAGCCCCACAGAGTGCTGCCCAGGTAGAGGCTTGCACAATGCGGACCGATAGGGTTTAGGGTTTAAGGTTTAGGGTTTAGGGGTGAGTGTTGCCAAAGAAATCAGAGACTGCCGTTTGGCAGCCTTCGGAGACCTCCAAGGCCACAGGCCTTGCCCGGGCAAAGCCTGGCTGCCTCCTCATGTGATCAACGGCCTAATGTTTAGGGTTCTGGGTTTAGGGTTTAGGGATGAAGGTCGTACGGCTGTCCTCTCAGCTCGGGAAAGCTCTACCACGGCTCAGGGAACCCCTTGCAGAAGCAAGCGCCACTCAGCGAAGGAGAGGAAAGCCTCCACTGCATTTAGAACTCGGACCATAGCTGTGAGGGGCTATCCCCGCTCGGTTTTTACTGGTTTATACCCTAAACCCCAAACCCTAAACCCTAAACCCTGAACCCTAAACCCTAAACCCTGAACCCTAAACCCTAAGCGCTTCGTCCATTGTTTCATAATGACTTGCTGCCCTGCTGTGGATTGCTCCGGGACCGGAGGATGGCGGGGTCTGCATCAGGTCTCTCCAGGAACCAAAGGCGCGGTTCTAGAGGGATCTGGAGGCACGGTTTAGGGTTTAGGGTTTAGGGGTTTAGGGTTTAGGGTTTAGGGTTTTCGATGTTGTGGCGAAAAGGCTTTGATCTCAACATTCGAAGCCGACGTGGTTGCAAAGGGCTCAGACCGGCACGGGACCTAATTTGCCGGCTCTGCCTGCTCTGCTGAGCTTCCGGCTTCTGGCGTCGTAGCGAAACATGTGACTCAGCATCTCCACCATGCGCCCATCGAGAAAGGCGGCTAACGCCATCAGTTCATGCCAGTCTTCGGCCATCAAGCTGCCATCCCCTTACGGAACGTGGAAGGCAACGGCACAGGCTCATCGTCCGACCAGAACTTGAGATGTGGACGGAGGGCCGAAAGGCACGTCCCCGGGCTGGATGCAGGGTCACTCGACGGCAGAGCCGGCAGCTCGTGCCGATGCACTCCAAGCTGAAATCTCAGACAGGAGTGATGAAGCTTGAAAGAAGCCTCTACCGTATGGGTTCGAGATGCCTGAAACAGCCCGCCCGTACTTGCTCACGGCAAGGCGGGAGTCTCAGACAGGAGTGATGACGCTAATGCCTTACGGCTCTCTTGCACCGAAGCGGCTTCGCAATGTTCCCATTCCTCAACAGTCTCCTTTCTGCTAAGTCAGGAATGCTTGTTTGCTGTGGGGCTCTCGAATCGCCTGAGAAAGCTCGTGCACAGAGCAAAGCAAGAGGCTGGGGTGTTGGCTTCAGTGGCAATGACCTGAGGCAATGGCGTGAAAACTAGCTGGAAAGGAGAGGCAAGAATTTCCTGCCTGGCTTTGCTTTGGGAGGTTGGCACCACCAAGGCACTGCTTTTGGCTGTCTCGTGCAAAGAAGAGAACGATGCAGGAGCAGTCCGTCCGCATCTGATGTTGTGGCGTATGATGCGAACCGAAAAGGCTTTGATCTCAACATTCGAAGCCGACGTAGTTGCAAAGGGCTCAGACCGGCACGGGACCTAATTTGCCGGCTTTGCCTGCTCTGCTGAGCTTCCGGCTTCTGGCGTCGTAGCGAAACATGTGACTCAGCATCTCCACCATGCGCCCATCGAGAAAGGCGGCTAACGCCATCAGTTCATGCCAGTCTTCGGCCATCAAGCTGCCATCCCCTTACGGAACGTGGAAGGCAACGGCACAGGCTCATCGTCCGACCAGAACTTGAGATGTGGACGGAGGGCCGCAAGGCACGTCCCCGGGCTGGATGCAGGGTCACTCGACGGCAGCGCCGGCAGCTCGTGCCGATGCACTCCAAGCTTAAATCTCAGACAGGAGTGATGAAGCTTGAAAGAAGCCTCTACCGCATGGGTTCGAGATGCCTGAAACAGCCCGCCCGTACTTGCTCACGGCACCGCGTTCCTCCATGTGCAAAGCGGGAGTCTCAGACATTAAACAATTGAACGCATCAGCCACAGCTGAGACCTCGGCCTAGCCGCGAAAGCATATCGTGGCCTCTGGTGGCAAAGCATCCGAGGACCAGTAAGGAGGTCCAGCGTCGTCCACATCATGCCGGTTGTTTCAAGTCATCTGGTCTGAGGCATTTGCAGAGCAGCCCTTCTTCGCGGCTGAGAGGTCATAGACTGACTACGTGGGGGCAAACCCTCAAACTGGCGAGATCCCCCGTCCGTGCAGTCAATACTCTAAACCCTAACCCTGAACCCTAAACCCTAAAGCCCAAACCCAGATCGGGTAGATTAGCAGGCCGCGATGCCAAAGAGAGCCTGGTTGCACAGCTCCTTGGGAATGTTTTGCTACAACGCCAAACACAACGCCAAAGGGCCTGAGTCCAACTGGCACCGAGACCGTCACGGCCCGGCCGCTTTGCAAGCATATCCGAGTTGTATGACATTCCGAAGGTTTTTCTGCAAGTACCTAGTAAAAGCATATCAGAAGTGCACGCATTTGCAGGGCAGCGTCCGCCTCGGCAGAACACCGCGGCACTGAGAGTCAAGGCCCAAGCAGGTTTAGGGTTTAGGGTTTAGGGCTTAGGGTTTAGGGTTTAGGGTTTAGGGTCTAGGGTTTAGGGCTTAGGGTCTAGATGGGTTAGGGAACCACCTTCAAGTCCACACATTCCCGGTTTTCGAACCGGTCAGTGCCCAACGACAGGGCCTTGTTCTTGGCACTGAACGCCTCTGGTAAGAGTCTGCTACCTGCAGCCTGCATCCTGCAAGGTGGGCATTAGAAAGCTGCTCGGAAACTCCGGTCTGTTCACCTCAAGAATCAGAGACAGCACGACTGCAGAGCATACTGAAAGAGCAGGCGTGTTAACATGTTGGTGCAGAAGCTAAAGGGCAACGGAGATTGCAGGCAATCTCAGACGGCAAAAAAGCTGGTGGCACCCACCAAGTCTTGAAGAAACATCAAAACGCACAGTTTGGTCAGATTGGACACATTGGTTAGTTAGCAGATACTGGAAGTGATGGAAGTCTGGCAACGGCCGACACAGGGTATTTGGCATCCAGCAAAACACACTACAGATGTTTCTGTTTCGAGATTCTCAGACAGCCTGGTCCGCCAAGGAACAGACAGCTTGCCTGGCATGGCTCAAACTTGCTTAGCCACTGTTCCTCAGAAGTCCTGCAGGCCGGTATTGAGCTTCATGAAGCTCAAAGGGCTGAGGGACGGTGCGGCAGAAACTGAGCCTCGAGAGCCGTCAACGGGCCCCCGGCCACCATCTGTTAGGATTTAGGGTTCAGGGTCAGCACCATTGCCGGAACCGCCTCGCTTCAAAACTGATCTGCATGTTACAGAGGCCGCAGTCTCTTAATCGTCGAAGATGCAACAGGTTCTTCCTGGTAAAGGCTTTGTTTCACTGCGCCTGCTCGCACGAAACAAATACCTGGCAAACATCTTGCCTAGTCAGGCATGTTCGTGCTTTCGAAGCATGGCCACTTTCCACAGCAAATCATTCCGAAACCTGTCCCAATGCCCTGAGAGAGGACTTCATCATCACCAAGGCCGCGCATCCATTCATCCCTATGTGGACGGCGGAGCGCTTCGAGAACCAATAACGTTCTGGCACGAAGGGAATGGGAGTTGGTACTCAAGTCGGCGTCAAGTCGGCGTAAACAGACTCCGCCAAAGCACTTAGGCCAAGCTTCAGGCATCGAAAGAGGATGGGCGAACCAGGCAACAGCCACCTCGCAACTTGCCTTTCCTGCTCGCAGGCCTGTGCATGCCAATGGCAAAGTTTGGATCCAGCCATCCTCCTTGTCCAGAAGGTCCGGAAGCTATGAACCGTCGAAATTACAGATTGTCCTCGAAACTCTCCCCCTTCATGGTCAGGATGCCCGTGGTC